TGTTGACCAGGATGGTCTCGATCTCTTGACCTCGTGATCCACCCGCCTCGGCCTCCCAAAGTGCTGGGATTACAGGCTTGAGCCACCGCGCCCGGCCTGGATTTTTCTTTTAAGAGTCTTGCTCTGTTGCCCAGGCTGGAGTGCAACCTCCACCTCCCAGGCTCAAGCAATCCTCCCACCTCAGCCTCTCAAGTAGCTGGTACTACAGGCACACACTACCATGCCTAGCTAATTTTTTGACAGGGGGTGTAGGGGGACCACTAGAAATGGGTTTCACCATGTTGTCCAGGATGGTCTCGAATGCTTGGGCTCAAGTGATCCCCACACCTTGGCCTCCCAAAGTTCTGGGATTATAGGCATGAGCCACTGTGCTGACCAAGGGTTTGGATCTTAAAAAAGAAAAAAAGTGAGGGATTTGAAGGCCAGGCAGGGTGGCTCACACCTGTAATCGCAGCACTTTGGGAAGCTGAGGCAGGAGGATCGCTTGAGCCCAGGAGTTTGAGAGCAGCCTGGGCAACATAGCAAGACTTTGTTTCTACAAGCAATAATATTGGCTGACCATGGTGGCATGCACCTGTGGTCCCAGCTACTAGGGAGGCTGAGGTGGGAGGATCGTTTGAGCCTGGGTGGTTGAAGCTGTAGTGAGCCCTATTTGTGCCACTGCACTTCAGCCTGGGCGATAGAGTGAGACCCCATCTCAACAAGAAGTGAAGGATTCATCTTATAGCAAGACTCAAATTAAATCTGTAATAGTGAGTACACTGTGGGACAGGTCTGAGGAAAAACCAAATCGAATGCCCAGAAACAAATCTGCAATTACATGGAAACTTCTGTCTGACTGACAAAATCAGTGAGAATGGACAGCATAGTCAGTAAAGGGTGTTGGAACAATCAACTATCCACATGGGAAAAATATGAAGTTGGACCCCTACATGACACCATAAGCAAAAATAAATTCCTTATGATTTGCCAAGCTTCAGATAGGTAGTAATTAGACATCCAGAACAAAGCTCAGGGAAGTACAGTATAAAATGATCAGATCTGGAGAGAAGGAAGGGTTGGGGCTGAGGAACCACCTGCTGGGTACTATGCTTACTGCCTGGGTAACAAAATTGTGGAGACCCCAAACCTCCACGTTACACAATTTACCTATATAACAAACCTGTGTACCATTTAATCTATAATACAAGTTGACATTCATTTAAAAAAAAAAATCAGATCTGGACTCACATCCACATCCAGGGGTCCTGGGGTCAAGTACCAATTCAGGAAACTTTGCATTTCTTTAAACAACTACAGCATTACAGTTTAAGAAAAGCCCCATGCTTCCAAGAAGAATCATTATGTAAAAATATTGACAAAGAGCGGGAGGAAACAGAAATGCGTAATTTAAAGACAGCTCTGAAATTTAACAACATCTTGCTTTGAGCCAACCTGGATTCAAATGATCCTTATTTCTGGAGGAAATAAAGTAAGTGTAGACATGACTAGCCCAAGTGTGAACCAAAGTTCAAATAACTGAAATAGAATAACCTATTACAAAGTCAGATCAGACTTTCTAAGCATTGGTCCCCTTTCTGATTTAAAACTCTTGTTTATTTCCTAGCAAACTGGAATGTTTGCTTTGTTTTGTATACAGTTTTTTTTTTTTTAATCTCAAATAAGCTGAGAAGATTAAGCACACACCGCCCGTAGCTCACAACTCACCAAAGAACTAAAATGACTTAACAACCAATGAGTTTAGAATCACAATAGAATCATATAGGCAATGGAGTCATTTGTTTGAATTGTTCATTTTTAACTTAGGCCACCATATTTACCCTTTCTGGTAGGTGACCTAAAAAGAAGAAGAGAAAGGATTCCTTGCCAGTCACTCAGGCAAATATTGAAGATAACCCAAAATCTAAGCATGAGCATTTCTGTAAGGCCAGTTCATGTCTTAGTCTACCTACCTGAATATTCTGGCAATATTGGTACAGACGTCCTTGTCACCCATGTACTGTTGCATCACCGTGCAGAGCTGGGGAAGGGCACTGATGCTTAGGAAGTTACTTCTTACTAACGGTGAATCAACCAAGTTTCTCAATGTAGCAGTCACCTAGGATAAAACCATGCTTGTGCCATTTTTTTTTAAACTGAAAAAGTATAACCACACGAAGCAGCACAGTATAATTCATCTCATAAATTTCCTTACATCAGTAGCTAAACCAAGCTCCCACTACTCATCTCCCACCATTGAATGTGAGCCTAGGCACAAGTAGCGACAAATGAAAACAAAGAAAGCCTAATTTAGTTCAAAGGCAAGGAATGGAATGTTAATCTTAGTAAGCCGTTGGTATACCCCAAAGCGAGGGTTAAACAAATCATCATATAGGTCTGTTAACAGTCCTAAGACCTTCAACTGACCCTGTGATAGCCACATCAGTTCCGGAGATTAGAAACTTCTTGTTCTATGTTTTTCTTTTTTTTTTTTTTCTTTTTTTATTTTTTTTATTATGTTTTCTTTTTTTTTTTTATAGGTTTTGTCATCTGATTGTTCTATGCTTTTATAAGTAGCATCAGCTAATGATGTGGCCAAGGAATATTTAAGATCTTTAGTTGCATTCTCTCCCAAGAGGCAAGAATATCTCACAAATTTCTCGTAGTTTGTAAAAAAAATTTCAGGAAAGCTATCTACTTTACCTTTGTCAAAGAGTCAAGAAGAGAACAGTTTAGTTAATCATATAACTAACATTGTTATCGAATAATTTTAATATGCAGTGTGCTCCTTCCTTGTGGGACAGTACAGGCCAGCTACTGGTTAAGAGCCAGTTCAGCCCCACCACCTGTCAGCCTCGGTTAGTTATTTAACCTCCCGGAGCACATTTTTCTCATCAATAGAGTAGAGGTGATGATACTTGCCCAGCAGTTGTGAGGATTCAATGAGATGAGATGTGTGCATGGCATCGCTGCCAACAGTTAAGAGTCAAATGACAGGGATTCAAGTCCCACGTCTCTTCCTAGTGAAGTGCCTGGGGCCAGCCACTCCTTCCTCCACTTCCCCATCTCCTCATCTGTGAAAAGTGGGTGACAAGCACTGCTCACCTCTCAGGGGGTTGTGTGTAGCAAATGGAAACATGTAGCACTGTTTTTATTACTTATCTAATACTGTAAAGCATCATGTAAACATAAAGCATCACTACGGCCATAGTAAATATACTTTTAAAAACAATTCTTAAGATGACATGGTTTTTCCTTATAACAACAGCAAGTAAAAGATATGATAAAATTTAACTGACTACCCTGAAAACACAAAAAATGTAAAAAAAAAAATCTTTCAAATAAATGTGTACACGTCTTTTGCAATCAATTCAATTATACAATGATTCTGTAAATTCTTCCCTGAAAGTTTCAGTATCCCACACATTGGAGGTGAAACAAACTACTTGAGCATTCCACTTAACCCATGGCTCTGCATAATATCACAATATAGTGATAACTATTCTTCTTATAACCTAAGGAATGGATTTTTTTTTTTTTTTTTGAGACAGAGTCTCCCTCTGTCGTCCAGGCTAGAGTGTAGTGGCAGGATCTTGGCTCACTGCAACTTCCACCTCCCCCATTCAAGCAATTCTTGTGCCTCAGCCTCCCAAGTAGCTGGAATTACAGGCGCATGCCACCATGCCTGGCTAATTGTGTATTTTTAATAGAGACGAGGTTTTGCCATGTTGGCCAGGCTGGTCTCGAACTCCTGGCCTCTAGTGATCCACCCACCTCAGCCTCCCAAAGTGTTGAGATTACAGGGGTGAGCCACTGCGCCCAGCCAGGAATGGATCTTTTGTGAAGACTAATGAACCATTCTAGGAATTCCATTGCTGTCACAAAATGGAAAATTCTCTTTATCTGACCCTGTTTCTACCTGTTCTCCTGAGACAGCCCAGGCACTTGAACACTACTGGTTTACATCAATTCAGAGGATATCTCAAAATTCTCTTCCATGGAGACCAGGGTACAGATGCCTGTGTGACTCCCAGGCAGACAGACACTACGGGAAACCATGAAATACCCATTCCAGTCACTGCACACCAACGGTTCCTTTTCCCTGTCCCTAAAGCATCAAAGATAGGGCATCCCAATCCACGGTCATCTTCACACTCCCCACATCTAACCTCTGGCAGAAAGGATGTCAGCAGAAAGGATCATAGTTTCCTTAGGAACTTTTATTTTCTTGTTTTAATCTCAATTTTTTCTCCTTCTCAGGCCTCATTCTCACCTAATTAGAAAAAGTTTAGACAGCTCAAGATTCTTCTGCCCCACATACACAACTTTCATAAATAACCCAAGTCACGAGAGAAAGCCCACATTTATATGTGACACACCATCTGACTGAAATTCCTACCCATTTACTGCATGTGATACACACAGTTGAGTAATATACATACCTCACATATTTCCAAGTTTGTCATTTGTGCTGCTGGTAGAAATAATGTACATGAAACATACACCACACATTTGAAAAATACACAGCAGTAGCTCAATGGATGATACCATCAACCTAGTTGCTCAAGCAGAGACATCCCAGAATCCTGCCTTTCTGCTATCTGTTACCCCAAGCCATACTGACTTTTTGTCCATATCTCCCAGGATAATATTCAGTTCCCTGACCATGGTCTACACGGCTCAATAGATCTGGTTCTTCTCAACCTATCAAGCTTCATCTCATACCATATAGGGCCCATAAACTCTACTTCATACTAAGTTATTTAATATTATGTGTTACTATCTGTCTACTCCTCCAGACTAGATGCTTCAGTAAGGGCATAAATCTTGTTCATCCTTTTCACCATTGTACTTCCAGCTCCAAGTCTAGTGCCTGGTACATGGTGGGTGCTCAATAGGCATTTACTAATGGCATGAATGAATGGGTGAACATCTACAAAGGAAAGACTGGGATATCAGAACGCCATGGGCTAAGCAGACAGTATCTCTGAGGTAGATAGATTTTAAGATGATTTTTTTAAAGCAGAGAAATAAAAAAATTATGAATGAAAGAAAAATGGACTCTAGAGTTACCCAGCTCAGGCTAACTTGTCTATGAAGGCCTTTCAGAGGCCGATCAGAAGCTTCCTCTTCCGTGTTAACAAAGCATCCTGTTCCTGCCTCTATAACCCCTATCACAGAAGCATCCTCACTGTCTCAGGCACCTTCTCTCCCATGGTGAACTCCTCTAGGATATAAACCACTTCTTATTCTTCTTCCTACTCAGAGGACAACAAATGTGCTCATAAAAAGCTCTTGAATGTTCAGCTGCTGGAGGGCTGGATGAGCAAATGAGAAGGGGAAGGAGACGGAAGAAAGAAAGAAGAGACAGGAGAGATAAAAAGGGAGTTTTTCCCTTTAAGACACCTCTGGCAAGGAAGTGCAGGAGTTTAGCAGAGGCCTGGATGAACCAGGGCTTAAAGCCCTGAGGGAGAAGGATCAGGAAGAGGTCACCAGACAGATGCAGCTCTGAAGGCCTCTATCTTGAGAGACTGTCACCAACCTCTGAGAGCCACCAATCTGACTGTGAGGTGACGGTGGGGCCCTGAATGCTCAGACCAGTAGCCTTTTCTGGAAAAAATGCAAAAACAAACAAACAAAAATTGGGTGTGGGGAGGAGAGTCTAGCTAAATCATGTGGTCACAGTAAAGGCAAGTTCCCAGTCAACCCACTTCATTCTGAATTTTGCTCCAACTTTTAAATTCATTGTATACAAATGAAAATTAAAACAAAACAAAACAAAAACAAGAACTCTCAGTTGAACAGAGATAAATCTGTGAAAATCATCAATGAGCTCTGTGCTCTGCTCAGAGGGTCTTTATTTCCCACCTCCCCCTGCCCCAAAGCCCCTGCACTGGGCCTGCCCCCAAAGAAAGAGTTAACCCATGCCCAAGCTTTATGCTTGGAGGTATCCATCTGTTTCTTAACTTTCTATTCTAATGCGTAGTATTTATAAATGCACACTTAGATACACATTTTTCTTTTCTATTGTATATATACTGTATATAATCTTTCTTTCTTTATTTTTTTTTTTTTTTGGAGACAAAGTCTCCCTCTGTAGCCCAGGCTGGAGTGCAGTGGCACAATCTTGGCTCACTGCAACCTCCACCTCCCGGGTCCTAGTTCAAGCAATTCTCCTGCGTCAGCCTCCTGAGAAGCTGGGATTATAGGCACACGCCACCATGCCCAGCTAATTTTTGTATTTTTAGTAGAGATGGAGTTTCGCCATGTTGGCCAGGCTGGTCTTGAACCCCTGACCTTGTGATCTGCCCACCTTGGCCTTCCAAAGTGCTGAGATTACAGGTGTGAGCCACTGCGCCTTTATATAACCTGCACTGTATATAACCTTTCAAACCACCTCAAATCCCTTACTTTAAAAAAGTCTAAGTTAAATGAACACCTAGATACTTGTTTAGTCTCTAAAGGACTTAGAGAAATTTCCAACCTCTTAAGTAGCATTTCACCAAGAAATAACACACTGAAAAACACAAGTTTTAATTTCTTTTTCCCCATCTCCTAACTTGCAACCCTGTGAAACTGATATAGTGAGTCAGAAGGTAGCCAGTAGGAAGAAGAAAAAAGAGAAGAAAATGGCACTGATAATCCACCAAAAGGATGAATAAAAATGTAAGTTTCCTTGCTTATTAGCAATTGTTAGGTGATGTTTAGGACAAAAAGGAACCTCAGGTTTTGGTAAATATCCAGGAAGAAACATTCCATTCTGCTTCTGGTTACTAATCTGCTGAAAAATCACTCAGCTACACTTGACAACTTTCTCGTGCTCACTTTTCTGAGACAGCTTCTTTCCAAGTTCCCCAAATTCTTTGATCATAACAGGTACCACCCTCAGTCGGGTAAAATGCCCGGAGAGCTGGCAAAGCTGCCCAGCTCACACTGAATTATGTAAGCCTCAAAGTTTTCATTGTGCAGTCACTATTGGGAGACCCATTTTAAAGGGGAAACATGTATGAAGAAGAAATTAGATCATTTATAAATGCACAAACCACATTTTAACACAGCAAAATTAGAACTCAAAAGCTTTAGCTTCTGTTTTTTTCAAGTTGACTGTAGGTACTTAGT